GTTCAAGAAGTTTTAATCTGATTCAATATGTCCACCATCACAGCCATATCATAAATCATTTCATGATCCTCACTTAAACATTTAAGTTCTGTATGTACTCAGCTTTGTTATGTGTGTAGAGAGCAGTGGGACTCAACACATATAATACTTCTTGCATTTTTTAAAATGTTTGTTTTGACAGTTGTATTGTGACCATGCTCTTAAATTCTCTCAAAATGCATGTCAAGCTCTATAACCATCTTTTCCTCGGGGGGCGGTGGGGTAGCCTAGTGGTTAAAGCGTTGGCTCGTCACGCCGAAGACCTGGGTTCGATTCCCCACATGGGCACAATGTGTGAAGCCCATTTCTGGTGTCCCCGCCGTGATATTGCTGGAATATTGCTAAAAGCGGCGTAAAACTAAACTCAGTCAGTCAGTCAGTCTTTTCCTCTGAAATGTGGGCATAATGTGTCTTGTTTTAGTTACAGTTGTATTTCATTAAAATCTAGAGAGGTCAGTAAAAGTTCATCCTGACTGATAGTGTTGAAATTTTAAGTTACAGTGTCATGGCATGTTATGTTTATCAAATGGAGACCCATGAAGATCCGGGTCAGAATTGGTCTTCAGCAATTCATGCTTGTCGTGAGAGGCGACTGACAGGATCGGGTGGTCAGGCTTGCTGACTTGGTTGACACATGTCATCGTATCCCAACTGCGTAGATCGATGAACATGATGTCAATCACTGGATTGTCTAGTCCAGAATCGATTATTTTCAGAATATAATATCATGTAGCTGGAAAATTGCTGAATGCAGTGTTAAACAACAAAAATCAATTGGACAATAATTTCAAGCCTCAAGGTTCTTTTTCACAACACTTCTACTTTCTCGACTACCCCAGTTCTTCTGTTGTCATCTTGCCCAAATGTACCTCCTAATGTCATGATAATGTCATCGTTTCCCTCCCCAGCTGTGGCGGCAACATGCTGATGAATGTTGGACCTACCAAAGATGGCCTCCTTGTCCCCATTTTCCAGGAGCGTCTGAAGCAGATGGGGCAGTGGATGAAGGTCAACGGAGAGGCCATCTACTCCACGCGGCCCTGGACACACCAGAACGACACAATGACCCCGAAAGTGTGGTGAGTAGTTAGTTCCACAGACTTTATCTCCCTTCCTATGTCATAGGCTCACTCTTAGGATTTTGTCATTTATCGTAGGGAGTGGGGATGAGGTGTGGAGGAACAGTTGACCTTGAATTGGTCTTGATTCTGACAAGTGCAGGGTATGTCAAGGACCTACGTAAGTAAAATAAATGTATTATGACAGTCATCCAGCTTGTTTATTCCCTGTGGGGATTTCAGGGTACAATATGTTGAAAGCAACCTCTGCTGGTAGAGTGAGTGAGTGAGTGTGGTTGTACACTATATGTCACATTCCAGCAATATCATCACTAGGGACAATACAAATGTGCTTCACACACTGTGAACATTATGGAAATCAAACCCAGGTCTTACGTGTGACGTGGAAACATGTGGCTACCCACTGCCCCTACTGATGATTAAGTGGTCAGACTCGGGGTCTTGGTTGACTGTGTGATATTGTACCTCGATGATGGTGACTGTTTCGCACAGCAAGAATCATTGGATTGCCTGGTCCAGTATTTACAGACATCGTCATACAGCTGGAATATTGTTGAGTTGGGCATTAAGCAACATTCACATACAGTCAAATCCCGATGAGTCGAATGCCGGTGTCTCGAATATTATGCATAACTCGAAGTACCTGTCGGTCCCGACCATTCCCTGTTATAGTTGTCATCATTTGAATACCGGTTACACGAATTCGTCTCATAAATACACACGATGACTCGAGAAGGAAATTTGGTCCCATGAGATTCAAACAACAGCAATCTTGTATACATAAGCCGAAGTCAGTCAATGAGAAATTGATTGGTGTAGCAAACTGATCCAATTAACAAACCAGCACGGCTCACACCTTTCCGCCATTGACGGGTGAGTTCAAAAGGCAGATTAGTGATTTTACGGAAATCACTGTCTGTGCTCATCAGACTGGAACTGATAAGGTGTCCCTATTAGTGATATGGAAATCATTAGATAAACAAATGCTTAGGCGGAGGAATTAGGACTGGATCATCTTTTTTTCTACCCTCATAGACATACCTATGTCTCGAATACATCGATAAGTCGAATTTATTACTTGGTCCCCAGCGATTCGACTCATCGGGATTTGACTGTATATATCTCATTGAACCATATAAAGAAGACAGAAATTGCAAGTGTTTTGTAGGAGAGTAGGGAAGAGGTAATTTTGGATCTACATTTTTTCATCAGGTATACATCCAAGAAAGAGGGTGCCCAGACCAATGTGTACGCCATCATCATGGACTGGCCAGAGGGGGACACCTTGACCCTTGGAGCCCCCTCCACTACTGTGGCAACGACTGTTTCCTTGTTGGGTTACCAAGGCAATTTCAACTGGAAGGAAGGCGACAAGGGAGGAATAGTCATTGAAATTCCACCAATTCCAGTGAACAAGATCCCTTGCTTGTGGGCTTGGTCATTCAAACTTACTGGGCTCTCCAACTAAACAGAGGAAAGGGACAGAACAGATTAATACTTTTTTAACCATTTAACTTTTCTTAGTATCCAAATCGTACCTGAAAACATAATATATACGTAGTAGTCCTGACATGCAATTTTTGAAAAGTTCACATTCAGGGTTGAAAGACCATGGCCATTTTGAACAGTAAGATCAGATATTAGACGCAGCATCTGGCAATAATATTTATTTAGTGTTACTGTATGCTAATTCATTGGCGGATCCAGAGGGGGGAGTTCAGGGGGTTCGATCCCCCCTTTTGAAAACGACTAAAGACCACATTGAAGATTTTTTTGGCGTTCAGGGGGTTCGAAACCCCTGAACACCCCCCTTCCAAAATTCCTGGATCCGACATCCACAGACATACACCCAAATCTAGTTTGGTCAAAGTAAAACGAGGCCAGATATCTGTACCATTATCAGCTAAAATTGATTCCAACATTCAAGTTTGGATCAGTAAACTGATAACAATGTGGACAGACTGATCTGGTTTACAATGTTTGGATATCACCTCGCTGATGCAAGAAATATTGTTGCCACTGTCTTAGTGTATGACCTAACATGAATGATGCAAAATGTCAAAATGTTCTTTATTGCCTGTTCTCATCTGGACCAAACTGTGTTCAATTAAAGATGTCTTGAGACCAGGTAGAACTGACCATTTGTGCAGATCCTTGATACTAATGGAGCAGTTTCAAAAGCCTTCCTGGTTTGCGAATAGTGAGCCTCATATTGTCTGTTTGATGACAGGGTTTGAGTGGCTCCTGAGTGACCTCATGGCTGCTGAAAGTGTTGAAGTCGGAGCCAGCTGGTAGAAGGTCCAGTTATTGGGTTGCTCTGTGGTTCTGATACTTGACTATATTCAGATTTCTGACAGTCTTCACAAATGTATATTTTGGGTGTGTGTTTCCACCTCCAGCAGCTACTGGAAGAGGTTTTACATCAACTCGTTTCATGTGCATTCCAATGTATTAACATAAACGAAAATCTTTCTATGATACATTATACTGTATATGCATAACAAATTCTCTATATATTTTGATCTACAAAGATTTCTAATGCAAAACATACATTGTGACTCTGTGATATCCATGCATTTATTTCAATGATTCATGTTGTCGTGTTTTTCAAAAAGTTTTTAACCTACATATAGTTATTTTTATCTTTAATTTTGAATTTGATCTCATGTTCATCAAAAGCAGTCCAAGTCAATGGAAAGTACAGGTATACTCATCTAACACAGAGCATTGTAAACCAAAAGTCACTGTGTTCTTTAATCTGATTGGTTGAAAAACATGATCGAATGGTATTCATTTCCCAGAAATTGAAAGACCATTTGCCGGGTATTAATGTGTACGAACACTGCACACACCATTGTATTGTTATGTTGTCAGCAGTGGTGACATCATTCAAATCATATTGTGATGGAAAGTCCAAATGATGTCACAAATTGAGCAGTTCCAGATGCTACCATGAGAGACAGCCGAAACGTGCGGCTGATGACATTTCACTGCTGTACCCGTACTCGATGTCAATGAGTGCAGACACAAAAACGCATGTGGACCTTTTGGTTTACTTTTGTGTTTACAATGTCGATAAACATCAAGTGTTGGCCAATTTCCCGGGTGTATTTTAAGCACAGAATATTTCATTTGAAACCTCCGGCTAATGCCGTCTGTTCCAAATGAATTCCTATGCTTCAAATAATCAATAACACCCAGGTAATTGGCCAACACATGATGTTTATCTCCTAATTGGACATGGCTGCAATTTGCTCCCTTGATTTGCTCTGATCAAGCTGTGGATGTTCCTTGTTATATGAACGCCACCATATAGCTGGAATATTGCAGAGTGTTAAGCAACAAACAAAACACACACAAAATCTATGTTATGTCATTCCACACTGTACGTTTAACTTCTGTGGCTTTGCAGACACAGAATACCTCCCTAGTGTCATGCTGATTGTAAGAGCCAACTTAAACTAATAATTGCTTGTCTAGGCCGATGGTTTTCATGCCATCATAAAGTCTTGTCTTGTGAGGACACAATAGCGTACAAGGATGTACTGGAATATTTTATACATTCACCATAGACTCATCTATCTTGAACAAACATGTTTGTATGTATTTGTCTTTTGTATATAACTCAGAGAAGAGATCCATATTTTGTTTTACCTGTTTTAGATTAGTCATATCAAATATACTCGATAGATGCACAATGTTCAACTTTTATCAAATGAATGTTAATGTATTTTTTACAACTTTTGTAGATGTGCAATTATACATGTATATGTTTTGATAATTAGTGTGTATTTACATGAAAAGGTAACATGTCTGTTTGAAATAAAATATTAGAAGTTGTCTTGACACGATATGCATATGCAATAAAAAGTCAACTCTGTATCATATTTTGAGTTTATTATACAATCATCGTAAAAAATACATAATCATGAAACAGTCATGACAATGGAATGTATATATGAGTTAGATGTTATGTCACTTTTAGCAACATTACAGCAACATCACCACCAAAATGGTTGGGGACACCAAAAATGGACTATGCACTTCGTACCCACATGGGGAATCGAACCTGAGCTTTTGGCATGACGAGTGAAAGCTTTCACCCCACTGGCCTTGTACATATGTCTTCATACACTTGATTAGGGGTCCAAGTGGGTAGACTTTAAGCCAAACATATTTACCCATGAACATACGTGTAAGTAACGTATGTTCATCAACATGACACTAACAAGATACAGTAATGTGAGATTGGGAGTGTCACAAAGACTAACATAACATAAAATAAACCCTAACCAATTCCTGAGGAATTGTTTTGGCAACAAAGATTTCCAAGGTAAAATTTACTGTCTCTTAATGTCTCATGCACTCCTATATACATCTCGTAAACTCATGAAGAAAAACAGTGGAACATTGATATGATGGGGGTCTGATTTTGTGCTGAGGACTTTCTTTCAATGTGTATGGTATATACAAGCATGTCATGATCCTTAACTTTCTTTGTTCAGTATACTTCAGTTCTGTTTTGGCTTGGTAATGATCCATGAATGACAATGAATGTGTTGCTTCTTGCAGTGTAGGTTACGTCAGTGGTGTAGTCCATGAGTCGAGTGAGTGAGTTTAGTTTTACACCACTTTTAGCAATATTCCAGCAATATCACGGCGAGGGACACCAGAAATGGGCTTCACACATTGTACCCATGTGGTTAATCGAACCTGGGTCTTTGGCATCATGAACGAACACTTTAACCACTTGGCCACCCAACTGCCCCATGAGTCAAATGATCAACATGAAATGGTCCTGTGGTCCATATATGCTAATATCTACCAACACATGATATATTGCACACCTCAATCTTAACAATATTCAGTAAAATGATCTTGCATAGACTATTCTGTTATAAAGATCATGGAGAAATGTAATCCTGTGCTGTGATCCCCAGAGAGGGAAACATGCAACTGCTTTTAACAGTCCAAATTTGGCTTGTTATGACATCTGTTTCAAAGACTGTACAGGAGGAGTTTGCAGAATTTCTGTGCCTCGCTTGTTCTCGTGGTCTTCACATCCTGTATCAGAATCTCAGTGTACCGTTCAACAAAATTTTGTCCAGATCCTAAATGTCAAACTTGAAGATCCAGATCTGAAGGTCATGACGTGGCCTTGACATCTGCCTCCATCTTCTGTAGCGAGTTAAACAACAGGTCACAGGCCGGCTTGTGTTTCTTCCACTGGTTCACCTGGCACTCTCTGCAGGGAACGACAAACATCACAATATGGAGTGAGTTTGGGTTAACACTGTCTTGAACATTTCAGTGTTATCATAACATGTAAGATTATTATGGGTTGAAAGCCTCACGTGATGCAGAGGTATTTACCAATATGTCAGAATGGCCATACTGTTAAAATCAATCAAAGTAATTAGGTGTAATGTTTCTTTTTGGACTGGTAGTAAAATAAACTAGAATTCATTCTTGTTTTCCAAGTTTTGAAAAATCATCTTTATACCTTCAACAAACCAACAACCTTCAACAAACTCAACACACTTTAAAGAGTTCTAGATAAAAATTCTTGTCACTTGATCTAGGGCTTTCCTCACTACTTAACATAAATATTCCATATATTTTGAGGCAAGAGGTTATTCTGGCTATATCCTGACAATATACCATGCATAGTAAGTGAAGCATAACATCTCTCCTAAAACCATTGTTATCTGAGACCATTAATGCACACCATGTCTGCAATCTTCCATGTCAAACGAGCTGAATGTTCACTAGCTTCCTGAAATGAGAATGATCCATAACAAAACAGTTATGTCTGCAACAACCAATTACATCCCGGTAAACGTGATAAAGCCAGCATAGACAAACCACAGTCACAGTAACCCAGCCCCTACATGGGGTATAAACTACTCAACTAAGTAGTTTTGTATGACCTCACCTGCGACAGTACCATTCGTTGTGACATCGTGAACAGCGTTTTGTTGCTGGCTGGCCGCAAGCAGCACATTTTGGGGGTTCGGTCAGCAGACCCTCCAACACGTCCATGTTGTACGTCTCCGCCCATCTGAACCAAAATGGTATTTTATTTTAATTAAGAAAGTGAGATTTACTTTTGACATTAAGTTGAAATAGTTCAAAGTTTTCCCAAAATGCCTTGTATAATAAAACCTGTTAATTGATAATGAGTGAGTTAGTTTCCTGTGATTAATCAGTTTATTATTTTACATCATAGTCATCCAGGTGTATCACAGCAGTGTAAACTGTCTTGTTGGAGCCGGACAGGCCAAGTTTCAAAAGGCTTGATATCATAGTGTTACATATAGTCATATATGAAGACATGCAATCAACGGAGTCACTGAAGTCGACCAACAAATCCACATCACAGGTTGTTGTGACAATCAACAACCTTTCCTAGCCTACGTTCCCACGTACTTCAGTTACTGATGTTGCTTTGTTGGTTGTGTTGACAATGTTGCTTTGTTGGTTGTGTTGACAGGGTCATACTGAGTAATCATCCAGCCCCCGATTTCTCGAAACAAACTTAAGTTTTTACTCAAATTTCAAACCGAGTTTGACAATTTGAAACAGCTGAATTTTTAACTCAACTGCAATTTTAAAATATAAAAGCCCAAACACTTTCAGTAATCTAGCCACCAAACTCAAATTGTCTACTAAGTTTGAGTTTCATATCGATTCCAGTTCATTCTGGGAAATGCTTATCCTGCATTTTCTCAAATTTGAGTAAAAACTCTAATTTAAGTCAAAACTGAGACTTAAGTTTGTTTCGAGAAATCGGGGCCAGGTTTTCCATGATTAAGACAAAATGATTTTTACATTTATGGAAGAAATGTCAACCAACCTTTGGGCTTGTGCTCGGATAGCTTCTGCGGAAGGGTTAAAGTGGGTCTTTGACTGTTTTTTGGCCAGTTGTTTCCACTTCCCCTCCCACTGCTTCAAGATGCCTTCTCGAATCTCAGGGACCTGTGTACAGAGGGAAGACAAGTCATATACTAGAGTACGTTCTGAATGGTATCAATAAGTCAAGAAATATTGGGTTTTGGAGAAGTGTAAGTGTGTGTGTGTGCATGCATGCGTGCACACATAATTCATGAGACAAAGGTTAGGGGAAATGCTCCTAAGGGACATATTTTGGGGGGCGAGAGTGACATGTTCACCTGTTCCAGGACAAAGCTCTTCTGTGGGGCTGGTGGTTCCATCATGGACAGCTGTTCCAGGTACCTCTGCATCTCGGCCAGGACCGGCAGCTGGTCCAGTAGAATCTCAGTCAGGTGAGACCGCAGCTGTAGCAGAAACATGGACTCATCTCAACACCAAACAGATGTATTACTGTTTGACGATATCTTCTTCAGTGAGTGAGTATGGAAAATTCCAGCAATATCATGACAGGGAACACCATAAATGGGCTTCATAAATTGTTAAGGGCAATCATACCCTTTGATGTGACAAGTGAACGCTTTAACCACTAGCCTATCCCACCATCCCTGAACCCCGCTGTGAACAAGTACACAAGTTCTATCAACATGTGTCAACTTCATGTCTGGGGAAAACCTGAACTGATGCATGTCCCAGATGTTTGCCTCTCTTGTTACAGGCTCAAACCATCTCCATCATAATCTGATCTGAAAATATCTGAATTATTCAATGGTGTTGCCAAAATGATTAAGCCAAGGGTTCAAAATTCCTAAAACTGTACTGAGAAACTGTAACAGGACAATTGAGGTAAGTTCCCTCTTAACAATGGGTACACTCATAGTCAATCAACATTAGATTTGGCACCCAGTCTTTAGAGAATTAATTTGCAAGTTTGTATGTGAAAATTAGATATATGCTACTTGTATCCCTTGACTGAAAGATCAGATTTAGGGTTTGTCATGTATTCCTTCATCGTTATTAATCAATATGACGCTGACGAGTTGTGTTGGTGTGATCCAAGGTTGTGCACACAAGTAGTGTGTTTGAAACACATTCTGTCAGAGTTGACAGACATTCAATCATCTGCTGCCATGACAGAAACATGATCGCTGTCATGAACTTACATCATCTGATCATTCAGAACTTTATTGTATGCATTGCAAATATCTCTCCAAAATACAGTACAACATAAACTAATGTCCTGAAGACACAAAAGATAAAATACAATGAAACATGTTTCACTTTTCTTAATGCATTTGGTTAAAATCTAGCATATGGAACACTAAAGGTACTCAATGTACCTGAATATTCTCAACACTCAAATGTCTGATATGTTGTCAGCAAGTAGTATTTTAGTACTCTTTTGAGCTTTATAGCAGGGCTCGATTTCAGAGAAATTAACCTACTTGCACCAGGTGCAACCTACGATAAAGATAAAGACCTACTTGCACCAGCCAGTTGCAACATAGTGTGTTTAAAACGTCAAAAGTTTCGGTGCACATAAAAATATTTCCGTGAAGTTGTACCCATGAAACCATAGCAACACAGAGACACAGCTGATATCTGTTTTCAAGAGCTTTCATAGCCGAGACGTGTCTATGAATAGCAATGTTTCGGTGCCATAGCTATTCAAAGTTTAGAAGAAAAATGAGCTGACATATTTATGCTTATAATGTTAGATTCATCATTGTTTTATTTCTCAAAATTTGACTTGCACCTTGTGCAAGTTAGACTCATAACTAGGTTGCACTTTGTAATACTGGGTTGCACCAGTGCAAGTAACAAAGCACTAAATCGAGCCCTGATTTATAGTGAAGCAGTGTGACAAGACTTGACCGATGTATCTCTGCCAGATTTCAGTGTACACTTGAAACCAAATATGCTTCTATCACTAAAACTGGGTGAGTGAGTCAGTGAACTATTGGTGACTGGAATTATCAGACAAGAACAACACAAATGTATTTCTTTATGGTCAGCAATTTAAATTTTCACTACTTCTTATGACATTCCAGTCATAAGATAGGATGTTTAGAACTATTCAGCATATCCCTAGAGATGAGCATGTTAAATAGTATCAGTACCTTGAGAATGGTGTTCTTTCTGTAGGAGTCGATGTCATACTTCTTCTGACAGTCTCCCCCCATCAGCAGGTGGTACAGAGCGATCCACACCTACACACAACATGTCCAGCATCAGTGCCAATAACTACAGCATCTCTCAGAATTATCACCACCTTCCTACACTTGTAAATGTTCAGAAAGATGTTTGTTGTTTAACACCAGCTATATGATGATTGTCTGTAAATAATCGTGTCTGGACCAGACGATCTAGTGATGGACATCATGAGCATCGATCTATGCAGGGATTGGGATAGAGAACTTTGAAAATGGGCCATTTTCAGGATTATTAGCCATTTTCTGAATTTAGAATGGGCCAAAACCCTTGTATCAATGGTAAACTTAACAATTTTAATGGGCCATTTTTAATTCTAATGTGCAAAATGGCCCATGGCCCCTGCCTTTCCCAATGCCTGATCTACGCAATCAGAAATGAAGAACTGGTCAAGTATTACAGGGGTGTAAATACTGGAAATACTGGAAATACTGAGTGTATGATGAAGGTGATAAGGGGATGATTCAAGGGGAGGAAGCAGGGGATGGCTTACCTGCCCTTCTATCTTTGTGAGCTTGAAGGAGTCTTCATGAGACACTTCCACCCATTTGCTGTCAATATACTTGTACACTTTACCTGGAATAGGTACACAATATAGTCCTACAATTTCAGCATATTCCATATGTGCAGTTCTCTATTTAAACATTTGGTTACATATTCCATGCATTATAGCATCTCCATCTACAACATCTTGTCCTCTATTCTTCTTCTCTTTACGCACTAAATTTCTTCATCAATGTGCAAAGATACATGTAAATGTTTATGAAAAACAACTTTAAACATACATACAAACGAAAAGCTGGTCATACATACAAACGTGAAGCTGTTTACATTATACATGCACAAACGTGAAGCTGTTCACATTATACATGCACAAATGTGAAGCTGTTCACATTATACATGCACAAACGTGAAGCTGTTCATATTATACATGCAAATCAACCATATACAAACCATTTTTCCGCCGAAGCCATGGCGGCATCTCCACCAACTGCACCAGCAGGTTTGGAACATCATGTGTGTTCAGGATGCGCGTCATCACGCTGAGAGGGAGTCTACAGGTCAAAGGGAGACAACTCTTCATAAAGGCGACAAAATGACATATTTAATGTTTGTTCTGTAATGGTATCTTCTATGTCATACAGCATGCAATATTAAAACATTCTTAAGTATCATTATATCAGGACCCAAGAGTGATATGCAAATTTGGGTATCAGATTTAAGTTCAAAAGAAAGTTTCAATGATCGTACTGATATCTGTATCTTCTAAAATCATCATTTACAGATTAGTATGAACATGGGTAAAAAGCGTCAGTGTTTTATAGCTGTTGAAACTAAAACATTCAAAACATGGAATGTCATCATTAACACTGAATCCAAACACTCCGCAACAACGTTCTTGAGCTCCGTACTCACCCCTCCAGATGGTCAGTGATGTACCGGATGAGGGTAACGGCCTTGATACAGATGTCAAAGTCAAGATTCCTGCCCTGTTTCTCCAGTTCCTGAAAACAGTTAACCATTACAGGAACACATAGTACACTTTTGTTCTTAGTTGAAAGTATTGCAATTTTCTATCGAGACAAATCCTAAAAAATATATATCCGTCATCTCAGAGACCATATACCGATCATCTCAAGCAGTCCAGTTCCCCTCATGGATTCTGGGTTACAATAGATCCCCAACAACCTATACTGGTTATAAGTGCTAACTAGTGCCCTCACATGGCTGATATATCAGTCACTGGTACTGTTGGTCTTTCGCATGGCGTCTGTCGTTACACAGCTTGAACATATCAGTCACTTCACTGTTGGTCTTTCATGACGGTCTGTCGTTACACAGCTTGAACATATCAGTCACTTCACTGTTGGTCTTTCATGACGGTCTGTCACTGGAGTCAGTCGTTTAACTACATTGTAGTCAGTTTGCCACATTGTAGTAGTTTGCCACATTGTAGGAGTTTGCCACATTGTAGTAGTTTGGGTCACATTGTAGCTTGAGTTTTGTGTCTTTCGTTTGCCACATTGTAGTAGTTTGCCACATTGTAGCAGGAACATATCAGTCAATGTTATTAACAGATCTCCAACTGTGAGAGATAAAGTTTGAGAAGAAATATTAAAATTTATTCCCAAAATATATCCCTATTTTCACTGAGACAAATCTAATAATTGTTTACAAATAACATGTACAGATTTTCATAAATATTCTGCACACTGACCTCATATTGACACCCTACATGAACGTAAAATACTGCTCAACAGAAGTTATGGAACACCTGACTCTTTCATATACTAAAGTTATATGTGTCATTGAGACCTTAACTTTGCTGAGATTTCCCTTTTACCTTCATCTTTGAAGATGAAGGGATAAAAAATGCAACAGTTTAATAGTTTTAACAACCTGGAAATAATAGATAACTCCATTCCTTACCTCCATTGAAGTGGCTGATGTAGAACTGGTCACAGATGATGTGCCGACCTCAAACTCATCATCTTCATCTTCATCGGACATTCTGCAACAACAGCAGGAGTGAAAGGTTGACTATTTATAGATTGCAAAATCAGACTTTGGCAAGTGAAGCTCAAAGTGAGTGAGTTAGCTTAGTTTTACGCCACTTTTAGCAATATTCCAGCAATATCACGGCAGGGGACACCAGAAATGGGCTTCACACATTGTGCCCATGTGGGGAATTGAACCCAGATGTTGGGCGTGACGAGCGAACGCTTTAACCATTAGGCTACCCCACCACCCCCTATTATTCAGAAGTGGGATAGTACAAGAAAAAGTTGGTTGTGGCTTAATTACCGATATATTATGTTATCGGTACTTTTCTTGAATAATCATGAAAGTTTACTCTCTGATTCTCTGAATGCATTCAGATTGGTTAAGAAATTGTTTGTAAAATACTTGTAAAAAATATCCTACAATTTTATGTTATACAAAATTGCCCACTGATGTGTTTGTTGCCTTTTATAGCAGAATATTTTCATAAATGTTATCCACCCAACACAGGGCAGGGGCAGACAAATAAACTAATTTGAAGGAAATAGATATGACTTATTATAGGGACTGACAACCTCTGATTACAGACAGGTGGTTCCGCTCAGTGATCTGTAAGGTTGCAAATTAGTGGTATTATATCCTGAAGATGTATCACAAATGATAATGCTGAACAGTCTTGAACAAGAATGATTATTCATCATACCGAGCTACCAGGTGTGTGAGTTTCCTGTAACAATAGTCAACTAGGTCCAAGATGGTGTCGTCAGCAGACTCACAGGTCTCGCGGTGGAACAGAACTGTCTCCAGGAGGTTGATCACTGTGGCTTCATGGTACAGCTGGGGACGGATGAAGGTATTGATTAGATCTTACAAATAAATATAGTGACAACTTATACAGAGGGAATGTTATGAGTTCAGTGCACCACTATATATCATAGGATGGGATCAACATACCGCCATATATAGAGGGAATGTTGTGCGAGGCTCAAATCCAGAGTTCATGAGTTCTGTGAATATCTTCTGTTTCCATATTTCAGTTACTAGCAGGTCTCGTATCAAAACAGGAATCTGAAAACAAGACAAAAAAGGAACATGTTTTTTTGTAGATGTTTCTTTTGGTTCAAATTTAATCCAGAATTAAAAGCCCATTGAATTCAGGGTGGCAAAAGTTAATGAAATCATACATGAAAGATGAAATTTAATAGAGACAGTTGTCACTGATTGTAGGAAAAGTTTGAGGGTAGCCAGTACCTTTTCAAATGTGATGAGTGCCTCTTTGACAAACTCGTCCTCATGAGAAGAAGCACTGATGACAGCCTGCATGTTCAGCTTCTCCAAATATTCATGTTGACGGGACCAACTGATGTAAGAAACAATCAGGGTAAGGTTAAGGTGGAATAAGATATGTTTACAGAACCACAATAGAAGATGTTCACCACCCTTTTCATTCAAGGATGAAATGACAGGGCTACCCTAACCCCTAAAAAAACTGAAAGACAAGGAAAGTAAATACTCATTACATATGATTAAAACGGAAATATATATTATGCATACCGGGTACATATTCTTGTAAAATCTAGTGTTTACGATACTGTTGAGTGGCAAACACAATATATCTGCACTAGATCTATGAGTGTTCTTTTTCATATTTAGTAAAAGAGAATCTAGAGGTCTGTCGTCTTTCATATTGAGATTTTATTCAAAAATTCAAATCTCTTCATAAAATGTTTATTTCGAGCCACTCCTACATCATCGTGAGGATAAACAAAGCCCTAATGACAACTGCAAGCTTAACTGATATATGGACCTGAAAATTCAGTGACGATGACAGATATCTAGTGACTAGTAGTGTTGTTGTTTACACAATTTCCATGGATACAGACCTGGGGCTCCCGATGTCTTTCACACATCGAACTGTTCCAAAGCTTCAACATATGCCTCAGCTTCAACTGCAAGCAGAACCTGTGTAGTTTCTCCGCTCATTGTCACTTCTGTTGCCAAATGACTTCAGTTTGTGTACTAAAGATGTTGGGAATCGACGAGAACGCACATGCCAATGCCTAAATCCAATACTTCCGGTATGCAGGGCTGACGATAGATTTAGTTATTTATTGGTCGTATTGAATTCTTAGATATAGAGAAGTAAAACAAATTTAGTTAGTAAGTACCAAAATATACCTCAAACGTCCATTATTTTCAATCAATGATAATATTGATATATTTAGCTGCAAGAATTTGATTGCAACCCGCGACTGCCATCTCCGTGACCTCGTTTCTAAAAATAGAAAAGCACATTGTCGGACTTGTAAACAAGGCTGGTCATCTCGCCATAGTCGCGGGTCATATTTCACTTGACCCTGACACTGGTCATTCAATGTCCACCACGACCTTCGGACAATGCCGCGGGGACGTGAATGCGGTGAAGGACCTGTCTCGGACGTTATGTCACCGAGTCTGTGGTTGAAAAGACGTGGCGAATGGACTGGCAACTGACACAGATTTCAAACCTACGGTAAACAAGTGAGTTAGAAATAGTAGTTTACGTCTTATCTGCAATATTTCAGCAATATCGTGACTGCTGTAAACAACGAAAGGTATCTGCTTCATTTAAAGATTTTGTGACTTGTTCAAACCGTTTGTCTTGGCTTTCAGCTGTTTTTTTCACCAAAAAACCAATAGTTTGTTACTGCTCACCAACGTGAGGGGTAAATTCAGCCATATTTCATTGCTGATTTCAATCTGAGTCAATGATGATTTCACTGTCACTTTGTCGTATAGATCTAGATGGTGATGTTAGCAACTTCACTCACTAAAACACCAGTTAAAATGGTAAGGGAAGGCCTCAATAAAGTTTGAAAACTGTAACATTCAAACAACAATTCTAAATCTTTATGGGTTTTTTTTATTTTTATGTACCAACCACAGCTTAAGGACTTCAGGCTGGAACATTATTGCTCATTGACTTATGTATCAATGAAATCTATTCCAGGAGACATTAGCAGTTTTCAGATTAATTAATAAAAAGTAAGACATGTATACTGTCATGTATTGGTTGTTCTTGTATTTAGATACTGTCAGTTTAATATTTGTATCATTATATGAAATTGGAATGCTTTATATGAGGTTTGTTTGAGTTTGCATTGTCTGCTCCTTGTGACTTCAAATTCTAAAGTTCAGCTCAGAGAGTATTTTAGAAGAATAATTTAGACACTTATAATAAACAGATCCATGGTTAAAATTTTAAAATCATGAGAAATCACAAAAATGGGGAAACTCTTTCCTATTGCATTTATGTGAAAGGTCAAGGTCATCTGTTTAGGTAATTGTGCAGCATGTTTCTTCTCGACTTCTCGTCAACATGACACAAAGATGATTGATAGTAGAGGATACCCTACAAAGGAATAATTTTCCTTGGTCCTTTGGAATTCTTTTGTCAAATGCTTTGAGAAAGTCAAAGTCAAGGATGATAAAATATTTTTACATAGTTTACACTTTCTCAAATAAGAACTTTGTGTGGGTGCCTTTTGCAAGTTATGACAACTATATAGAAAGTTTTTTTGGGAAAAAAAGATGTCAGAGATCAATGACCTGTATTTTGTAAAACATGTTGCAGTCATGGTTTCATCTACAGGCATACAATCTTGTTTACAGGCTTTCTTGAAAATCCTGCCACGTGTAATCATGGTAATGGTGGTACCATGTCTTTCAAAGGCCAAGGTCATCTTTGAGACTGGTTATTATGAAACCATGTCTATATCAGTCATGCTGATTAATTTTCACTTTTACTTGTACAATTCTGCTGCTGGGATAATTGTTAGATCTTTAGAAGTTTACTTGATGAATAAGGTCAGGTAGTAATGTTTTCAGACTTCCTCGTGACATGATAACATTTTTTTAAGTTTGGAGGAAATGGTTGTGCAGGGGGCTTCTCTTGTTTAAAAAAACAAAGCAAAGCAAAGCACCTGTGCTGTACAGTTTTACTCCTGACACCTGCCCCAAACATGGATGTATTATGTAAAGATTTAAAAAAAATTTAACCTACAGGTACAATTTAATTATTGCAGTCTGTTGTTAATATCACTCTTTCTCCTATTTGATTATGATGTATTCCTTGATACTTGAAGTTTTGGTTTCAGCTAGTGCAACACTTCAAATGGTTCAGAACAAGTAAGTGTATTTCTTTGATGAAAATGTGTGTGAATTGTGCATGGAATAAATATTAACAAATCTGACATTGGAGTAATTATTCATATTATGTCATATACTAGCCTGTGACCGGGTGTAAAAACCTTGGAGTCAACTTTGTGTGCAGACTCTTACAGTGTTGTCACAACCCCTGGTGTACAGTACACAACCCTCTGCACTTAAAAGAACCCACAAATCTGTTGGTATATGAACAGATGGTGGCCACATGAATACGTGCAACACCTAGTTGCGGGTACAGCAGCATGCAGTAAACTTGGACAAAGCACTGTGACTATGTGTCCCAGTCCACCCAGCTGTGAATGGGTACCTCATTAGGATGAGAAAGCCACAATAACTTGGTGCGCCTAGTGGCTGCAAGAGTTGTATACTCCCCAGGGAGTTGAGATTGATAATACGATGTGCCGTTGAGATTGACGTCCAATGATCGAGAAAAAAAAATACCAGCGCCTTGAGCATGCACTAGTTGCCTGGATATATGCGCTATATAAATATCGTATAATAATAATCTGTATAAGGCTGGATCAAAATGGTTTTATCCAATTTCAACCATTAGCTTGAAGAATAATTAATAAAACAGCAACTGAATATGAAGCTGAAATGGTATTGTAATCCACATGTAAGATGAAAAATTGTTGTGTGGCATTAATCATGTTAATATTTAATTTCATTTATGATGGCATTATAGAAGATTATGTCTAGTTTAACATCACAATTTATAAAAAGACTTAGGCCATACTCTTGTTTTAATATCAGACTGAAAGTCAAACTTAATATGTCGTAGCTAGTTGTCTGTTGTATGGTTGTCAGGCCATCTAGCATGTGCCATATCTCCTGTAACAATATAGGAAGCAAAAGCCTTGCTTGAATCAAACCAGCTGTGGTTTCTCTTAACATCACACACAGAATACTGATCCTATGTTAAATGTTATGGCTGCCATCATTTCTTCAGAATACAGGGGGAGTTATCCATCCATGTAGCTCTCTCTTATCTTTGTTTTCAGATCTTACTAACCAGCTCAATTGTTATTATTGAAATGAATGTAAAATGTATTGTTCAATGTGCAAGTCTCAATAAAACATGCTTTTGAGGTTAATAGAGATGAGATGCTTTACACAATGCACATGATCAATCGTTTATAACACAATTACAATAGGTGCCTGATGGATGAGAGGTACGCTTGATGTAGAGTTAATGTATAGTTTCCTACACAAAGTATCCATGCCGATAAGGAAACTGAAAAAAGACAGTTATCAATTTTTATTTAGGAATTCCACAACCTGGTCAGTAAATAACAAAGCATAGGCTACAAGTTTATGGATGTAGGTCGTGCTGAAATGGTATTCACTGTCTACAATGATTGACTATAAGCACGATAAGTGTTGTTCTCGGTGACACAATCCACCAATTGACCAGATGTTTCAATGAAGGCCCTGTGGACTTATATTTGTTATAATCATGTTCACCTTTACCCTTGGCATCCATGTCTAATAATCAGTTGATATTGTGTAATAAGAAGAATAATCTGACTATTTTGTACATTTGTTTTCTATTATTGTTTTGTACTGTTGTTTTTCAGATTATCAGTGATATCGGCTACTGTTGGTCTGGTTGCCGTGGTAACGCTATATCTTCTGCCATCTCCAATAGACCCCAAGCCTTATGTGTAAGCATCGCTTCAGTTGAAATAGCAATAATTGACCTCTTACTTAACGTCATGGTTGTTCCAGGGCAGGATAGAAACCACAAATTACTCTTTCAGGGGTGGAAATAACCCATTGCCCGACGTCCGAGTCCAGTGTTGTTTTCTGTCGGGCAATCTAATTTGTATATCACATTGTACCGGTGTCCAGTTGACTTACCAATGTTAATTATGTTGTTTATTTAAAAAATCAACAAGGAAATGGACGGTATAGTGGAAAAATTATCAGGGCGAGTGATTTTACATGTGCCACTGTACCGGAGTACACTAGCAAATTTAAAGTTATTTCCACCCCTGCTCTTTGTATTTGAGGACTGGTTGGAAGACCTAGGTGTTTGCTGACAGTATGCGTCAGTCATCTGAAACTGGGAGGCATGATGTGTAGTGTTCACATGTTAGCACATGAGTATTTCACGGTGCGATATGTATTTTAGTGGTATACTGTGGGCGATGAGGCATCATAGTTATGTCCCTTAGGTCATGGAGCAGGCAATACCAAAACAAGCATGGTGCTTGATAGGCTCTATGTCTTTCAGTGTTTTATTAAATCTGACACAACCCATTGACTGCTAAAACATCACACGAAGCATGTCTGTTTGACCAAATGTTGACAGTTCCAATCCTCTCTCTGTCCATAATTGTCCAACGAAGCAATTCACATGAACTGAGTGAAATGAAAATACAATAATCAATTCATTATGGCCAGTGTTTGACATAAAGTCCATCCGACCGCCCGAGATTGGTTAGATTTCAGACAGGCATTCCAGATTTACAGCTAGCCAGCCCGATGGTCTGGTAATTTTTTTTAGATATTCCATACATCTGAGCAAATTCTCCATATCTTGGTGTCTGGTCTGGTTAAATCCATTTTGGGCTGGAAACATTTGGAAGTTACCAGCCCTGATGTCTGGCTGGTTTTTCGCTTATTTCATACACTGATTATGGCCTAATTTAAGTTAAAAACTGTTTCAGGTTTAACTGTTCAATTCCTCGTCTGGAGGGCAGCCTACAGCCCAACGTTCGCCTGCAGAAAGTAACCAGGCTGTTTGAGGACCAGATTATTGGTCCAGAATCATTCGCTGTGGATGACAATGGTATGACCAGGATGACGTAGAAATTAAGCATTCCTTTGTATAATAACACCAATTGCTAAACATCATTTGGAAACATTGTTGTCATCCTTGCTTTTTTCTTCCCTGCATCAAATAAGGGGTGATGGGTAGCGTAAAGTTTGCTTCTTAAGCCGAAGTCCCGGGTTCAAATCCCCACGTGTGAAACCCTTTTCTGGTGTCCCCTACAGTGATATTGCTGGAATATTGCTAAAATCAACGTAAAACTAAAACTCACTCACTCCTGCTTCAAGTGAAAGGAATCTGATATCCTGATTACAGTAATGATGTTTTGTATTTGTTCCTGTCAGACATGTCACTGTTAGTATTTATGTACTGATAAATCATGGTTAGAGACCGTTCATAAGTTATGGCTGTACAATGTGAATGACCCTCTCTCAAGTTTATGTACAAAGCAGGTGACCCCCCTGCATGTCAAGTACAAAATCAATGCCCCCCCACCCCACCTAATTTGCAAGCATAATCTTTTGATATTTTTATGCACAAAATTGCTGACCCTCATCCCCTTCTCTAGTTCATGTGTACAATATTGATGACCCCCCACCACCTCCCCAGATAAAAATGGGTGCCCCCCTTAAAATCATCATCACCCCCTAGCCATTAATTATGAACGGTCCCTTAAGGTGAGAAAAACAGTGATAATGTTTCTTAACATTTTGAATTTTTCTTTTTGTGATATAGGGACTGTCTACACAGGTAGTGCTGATGGAAAAATTTGGGCTTTCAAGAAAGACAACTTACGATTTGTTGCACGGACAGGGATAGACCACCCTGATTGTGGTGAGAACATTTTCATACTCTGTCATCAATGTTGTACAATTGCAGCTCTCCTTTTGGTTAGGGTTCATGGTATTTGCTCACCCTTTTAGTCATAATTGTACTGATCTTCTGTGTACCCCCTTAAATCAAGCTCTTAGTACCCACTTGTAAAAAGCAGTCTTTGTAGTGCTGAGATGATTGCAGCTCACAATTGTTATTGTAACATTTGCGCACAGTTATTAGTAAAGCACATATGCTAATACATTTTTGTTTTGGAATTATAACTCTTGCTCTTAAAGTAAGGCACCTAACTGTGTGTTCTTTGATTTCAGCCATGGGAGGCAAGAAAATTTAATCTTGAAATGGGTACAGAAAGTAGGCGATCTAATTTACCATGTTTCAGATAAAAGAGTTAGATATGTTTGCTTGTGATTTAGTGCCTCACTCTGGGATGGGTGTTGAAGCCAGCAGTTGTTTCCCTTTAAAGAACCCCTGTGTTGTAGGCAGCTTCTCGCTGGAGCCGGACTGTGGCCGACCCAAGGGGATGAAGGTGGACAGAGATGGATTCCTAGTTGTAGCAGACTCCTACAAAGGTCTGCTCCGTGTCAATGTGACGACCGGGGACATCGAGACTCTCATGCCAGGACATATTGGTAAATACAGGTAGTAGTGTTCTTAAATGTTGAACTCGGTCACCCATCAGCTGGATGAGGGGTTTTCTAGAATGATCCAACCAGATGGACTAGTGGTTGATATTGTGAGCAACCAAGTGGTGTTGTCAGGTACAGTGACAATCAATAGAAAATGTCACTTGGGCACACCACCTGGTCTCTTTAGTCACCTTGGGCACTAGCGTCATCATGACCAGTGTCTGACAGCCACAGTTCCAGGATCAGCACCTGACAAATACATCATTATGGTAGTGCTTGACGGTGCCACTTACGCTCTGTCTGTATAAATTTATAGACAAAAAATCATTCCATTTTGACTGAAAAGGAACCCGAGTGAGATGGGAGATTAAACCTAAGGAAAATCTGCACTTTCTTCATTTAGGGCTTTTGCAAAACAGAAAGGGCTGGGCACAAGGGAAATTTATTTTTCACGGACTGTGAGACAGACGAGTGACACCCATGTGCTGTGTTCTGATGCTTCCCGTTTAGCAAGGTCAGAGGAGTCAGGCTACTCAAGACAGAACAACTCCAATGATAAAATTACCACAAATAGAAACAAAATTGCTGATGTGGTGGTATACAACATTTAATCATTCCTATGATTAGAGGACAAAACTGATCCCAAAATATTTACCCATGGGCCGTCATGTGTTTCAGGCATCGATGGCAAACCTTTTCGTTTCCTGAACGGCCTTGACATTACATCAGACGGGATCATCTACTTCACCGATTCCAGCACCAAGTGGGAGCGGAGGAACTACAAGTTTGAGGTACACACAACTGACCAGGAGATAAAGCCAAATAATGTTTGTTCAATTGTGAAACTGTAAATGTTCATCTCAGAACTGGTTCAACAAGAGACTTGATTCATTCAACCCACTGGAAACACTGGAATTTTAGTCACTTGTGAACTGAGAGTGTTTGTTGTCTAATCCTGCACTCAGTCATATTCCATCTGTTTCATGTGAATGATCAAACCTGAACCATACAATCCAGTGATTGATATTAAGAGCAATGGTCCACCCTATTGGGTCATGCTGACATGCAATCAAGTGAGACTGACCAGCATGTACTTTGAAACATTTCGCTATTACAATGCTTGATATAATAATTATTGTGAAAATATGAACTGGAATAGAGCACTTGAGTCCAGGTGTTCACTTAGACAACCCTCTTACACAGTCAGGTAGGTGGGAGACAAGATCACTTAGACAACCCTCTTACACAGACAGGTAGGTGGGAGACAAGATCACTTAGACAACCCTCTTACACAGACAGGTAGGTGGGAGACAAGATCACTTAGACAACCCTCTTACACAGACAGGTAGGTGGTAGACAAGATCACTTAGACAACCCTCTTACACAGACAGGTAGGTGGTAGACAAGATCACTTAGACAACCCTCTTACACAGACAGGTAGGTGGGAGACAAGATCACTCTTAGACAACCCTCTTACAACCCTCTTACACAGACAGGTAGGTGGGAGACAAGATCACTTAGACAACCCTCTTACACAGACAGGTAGGAGGAGACAAGGTCATTGGACAACCCTCTTACACAGACAGGTAGGTGGTAGACAAGATCACTTAGACAACCCTCTTACACAGACAGGTAGGTGGGAGACAAGGTCATTTAGACAACCCTCTTACACAGACAGGTAGGTGGGAGACAAGATCACTTAGACAACCCTCTTACACAGACAGGTAGGTGGTAGACAAGATCACTTAGACAACCCTCTTACACAGACAGGTAGGTGGGAGACAAGGTCATTTAGACAACCCTCTTACACAGACAGGTAGGTGGTAGACAAGATCACTTAGACAACCCTCTTACACAGACAGGTAGGTGGGAGACAAGGTCATTTAGACAACCCTCTTACACAGACAGGTAGGTGGGAGACAAGATCACTTAGACAACTCTCTTACACAGACAGGTAGGTGGAAGACAAGATCACTTAGACAACCCTCTTACACAGACAGGTAGGTGGTAGACAAGATCACTTAGACAACCCTCTTACACAGACAGGTAGGTGGTAGACAAGATCACTTAGACAACCCTCTTACACAGACAGGTAGGTGGGAGACAAGATCACTTAGACAACCCTCTTACACAGACAGGTAGGTGGGAGACAAGATCATTTAGACAACCCTCTTACACAGACAGGTGGGAGACAAGATCACTTAGACAACCCTCTTACACAGACAGGTAGGTGGGAGACAAGATCATTTAATATTGTCAAGCTAAAGGTAAAGTTTCAGATCCATCATTTCTGTATGTCATGTGACCCGTGAAGATCCGGGGTAGAATAGGTCTTCAGCAACCCATGGCTTCCACAAAAGGCGACTATGCTTGTCGGAAGAGGCGACTAACGGGATCAGGTGGTCAGGCTCGCTGACTTGGTTGACACATGTCATCGGTTCCCAATTACATTGTACACAGATCGATGCTCATGCTGTTGATCACTAGATTGTCTGGTCCAGACTCGATTATTTACAGACCATATAGCTGGAATATTACTGAGTGAGGCGTAACACTAAACTCACTCACTCACTCACTGTATGTCATGTCAGGTGATTGAGATGAACCAGCTTGGCCGTCTGATAGCGTACGACCCATCAACCCGATCAGCTCGCACTGTCCTAGATGGCCTCTATCTAGCCAACGGAATCAGCCTGTCTGCAGACGAAAGTTTCCTGGCAATCGCGGAGATGAGCCTGGTGAGATTAAGAAGGTTTGTGAAAAGGACTATCTCCATTGCTGTACTCAGCTGATCCCTTGCCATGGCCAGAACAAGTCACCAATACCCACCCCTTACTTATCAGATACAGGCTAATTGGGGATTTACAGGTGACCATGCTTGAATATGACAATCTTGGGTTTCCAAGTCTATATTTTATAACCACATTTACATCATGTCAGATGATGATTTTCCAACAATTGCTGTATCATGGATGTTTTGTAATACCTGTATATGCAACATTTTGGCCTATTTGACATGTTTGTAAACTGTAAATTAGATCCTTGAATATAGAACATGAACATATATTACAGGTCGAGCCATAATTACATTGATTAAGATGATATTGAACACATTCAGAATATGAGCACTGATCCAAATTACAAATGTTTTATTGTTCATACTTCACCAAGAAAATTATTCCTGGTCCTTCAAGAGATGATATTATGTTGTCAAAATAATGATATCATTGATAAACAGCTGATATTTGCCATTTTCGATACTTGTAGTCATGTTGATAAAATATTTTTAATTGCCTGCCCTAACAATTTCCACGACCGTTATTTCTATTTTGTATCCTGTTAACATCAACAAACCTTAGAAACAACTTTTTGCACTCAAAATTTATTTTGCACTGGCTTCTGGTGTTTTGCTCAAGCCACTTTCATGGCATGTTTTCACCATGTTCACGATGGCCTGAGGCGAGTCTCTTCAAAATGGCCAAAAGAAGTCATGTGATAATTACAATCAAGTAAACTTTGACAGGTTTACAACTCTCTGAAGAAATATGTAATGAAAAAAACTGAAATCCTTCATCATTTCAAACACAGTGTAATTTTGAGAAAAATGGCTGAAATTGGTTATGTGTATGACTTTCTGATGCAGGTATTACCTCAAAGGCCCCAAACAAGGTGAAACTGACATTTTGATTGACAACCTACCTGGTTACCCTGACAACATCAAACTGAACAGTAAAGGACATTTCTACGTTGGACTCGGCAGTGTGAGATTCCAAGGTGCCAGTATTCTCGGATCGTTCCTGGACGTCATCGCTCCATATCCAGGAATCAAGAGATTCATGACAAAGGTAGAACAAAAAGTTTGATTGGGGCCTATAATACAATATATCACCTACTGACCTTCTTCTTTTAACCAAAGAGGGTGGGATGTGTTGGGGTAGCCTTGTGGTTAAAGCATCTGTCACGCTGAAGACCCGGGTTCAATTCCCCACATGGGCACAATGTGTGAAGCCCATTTCTGGTGTCCCTTACCATGATATTTCTGAAATATTGCTAAAAGCGGTGTAAAAACAAAACTCACTAGCTCACTCACTCTTCTAGTGACAGGTTGAAATATGTAACCATCATGTTGATATTTTTGGTATAAATTCCTATTAGAACCCAGAGGTTTTGCACAAATAGAAATTGTGTTTTATAGTCGAGGAATAAAACATAAATTAATCCAGAAAATACTGGAAGAGTATAATTTTGCGGCAGGTTCTACAAAAGAACTAAAATACCTCCACTAGACATGTTGGACGACCTGAAAAACATTCTCTGAAACTCAGAAATATTTGCACTTCTTCTGTTGTTGACATCTTGTCATTGCAAAATTTCAGTAGGTTTATTGTTAACATCAGATGTCTTTAGAGCTAAATTGTATTATTTCTGTTCATTCATTACTCAGTGACTGGTAGCCTATGCTTGTTGGAGGAGGTTAACTAAATGGATTTGAACTTATATTTACAGATGCCACAATTAAAATCTTTTGAAATTTTTATCTTGGAAACTTCAAAACACAAGGAAATATAATGAATCTATATTCATCCTGTCCTAAAATGTTTTACCTCATAACATTTCGAGTAAATATGAAAAAAGATATTTGAAAACATTTTAATTTTTCTACCAACCTAATTACCAATTAATCTTAAGGTTTGACCCTAAATCTGTAAATGGTCTATTGTCAGTGTCATCAGTTCTAATTATCCTGTTGTCTTTTCCAGGTGACACCCCTATCATTCTATGACATATTCCTGCCCAAACACTCACTGCTACTGGAGGTCAATACTCAAGGTCACATCGTGAGAAGTCATCATGACCCAGGGTCAAAGGTCGTACCAGCCATCAGTGAAGGTTTTGAAGCAAATGGATATGTGTACATTGGTCATTTCCGGATCCCTTTTATTGGTGAAATATCTGTTGACGAGTTAAACAGGGATGGGAAGGTGTAATAAAGTAACAGAAAACCACCTGCAGTGTTATTGTATATGTGATATGAATGTTTCATCATAGCATATTTCTCAAGGTAACAGGAAGGATATGACAATAATATCGTATAGTGGTGTTCCGAATAATTGAAATAATTGAAGATCGGTCGCAGTGACTAAAACACCACTCAATCGATTGCATTTTCTAATAATCGAACAGAAACGATTTTGGAACTACGGTTTTTAATGTTTGAAGCATTGGAACATATCTGAGAAGTTTTCAGGGTCTGAAAACATGTTTAATTCTTGGAAAACTCACTTCGCTTACTGAAAAATCATGACCGAATATTTCTTGAAGACTCCAGGAAGTTTATGTTCATGATATATTAGTCATCACTGTACAGTAGCAAGTTGCATCATGTTATACTTATCTGCAACACACACACACGCGCACACACACGCGCACACAGACATATAGAAAATATTTACCTTCATTGTAGTTGAATACTGTTTTGGATGGCTTTCAGTCAGTTTACTTACAGCACCGACACTGGAGAAATGGCAACATTGGTGCTATTAATTTCGAGTGGTGTATTTGGCACAGTGGACCATGAGAGGCTTCTTCACACTCTGGAACACCTGACTGGAATCGGTGTACTGCATTACCATGGTCAGGCGCGTAGCAAGCCAATTTTTTCGTGTTAGCCGGATAGGTTAAAGAAGCTATTTACCTGGAATGGTCTCAAAACGTTGTGAGAGAAATTAAGAAAGAAGGTTAATCCATAAAAATATCTTGGACATCACTATGTTGTTTCTTTAAAAGAATATTTAATCTGAGTACCGAAAACAAGTATGTTTGCATCCCATGTACCCAGGTACGGAGTCCTGAATACCATCTTAACAGATCCGGAATCTGCCTTGTAAGAAGGGGAGTTGTCAGTCGTTATAATGGGGATCAGTTGACAGCAGTAGTAGTCATCGTGGTAGTAGCAGTAGTTTTGGTTTTTTTTGTATGCAGTTTAACACCGCACTCAGCTATGCAAGGGTGGTTTGTAAATAATCGAGTCTGGACCAGATAATCCTATGGTACTGTTTGAAGTGAAGCTGATCCCCAATCAGCGAGAATGTACAAATATTATCATTCAGTTCCACGCGCGTTTTACTGACTGACTGAGTTTGGTTTTACGCCGCTTTTAGCAATATTCCAGCAACATCACGGCGGGGAACACCAGAAATGGGCTTCACACAATATACCGATGTGGGGATTCGAAACCGGGTCTTCTGCGTGACGAGCCAACGCTTTAACCACTAGGCTACCGCACCGCCCCTCCACATGTTTTAAGTCTTCAGAGTTTTGGGGCGGTGGGGTAGCCTAGTGGTTAAAGCGTTGGCTCGTCACGCCGAAGACCCGGGTTCGATTCCCCACATGGGCACAATGTGTTAAGCCCATTTCTGGTGTCCCCCGCCGTGATACTGCTGGAATATTGCTAAAAGCGGCGTAAAACTAAACTCAGTCAGTCAGTCAGTCTTTAGAGTTTTCATAACGGTGTAGTGAGATGAAGGACTGGACTTGCCACAGTCATCTGATGCATGTACATGTATATTGGTTAGAAAATACTGAAAACTTGTGTAATTTCAAAATTCACTTTTCTAATCAATATATATTTAATTAAATATTTCTGTTAACCAGGTGAATATTTTGCCTTCACAATATCCAGGGCCCCATTTCACAAAGCTATCGTAGCGCTACGACAGTGTGTGAAAGAAGCCAAAAATCCAGCCGGTATCAAAATGGATTTACTCAGATGTATGGAACATCTAAAATATTTACGGTAAATACCAGACCATCGGGCCGGCTGGCTGTCAATGTAGACCGTCCGTCAGAAATCTAGCCCGTCTTGGGCGGTCGGACGGCTACGACTGTCGCACCTCCTATACTGTAACATAGACTTACGACAGTCGTAGCGCTACCATAGCTTTGTGAAACAAGGCCCTGGAGAATAATATCTCCGTATACGTAATGGCCCACCATTCTGGAAGTGCAAACACAGGTTATCAAGCAACTACTGTGTGTTTATTAATGTCACATTTACCAAGGGGTAGTCTAATGTTTGACGAGTTTGCTTGTCACGCTGGAAACCCGGGTTCGATTCCCCACATAGGAACAATCTGTGAAGCCCATTTCTGGTGTCCTCGTCGTGATATTGGTGGAATATTGCAAAATGCGGCGTGAAACCCAACTCACTCACTCATTTAGTAGTGTAGTAGCAGCATAGCGGCTGCCTTGAAGTAGGAGTCTTACTGATAAACACTCATTGGTATAATGAACAACAGTTCACTGCTCCAGTTTTCTATCTTCCGGAAGGGAAGTTCTAATTAATGTCAGTATGAGGTCACTGAATGGCCGCTGAACAAAGTCGGTGTTTGACCTATCGCGCAATAACATATCTATAGACGGATCCAGAGATGGGGTGCAGGGGTGCACACCCCAACCCCCTTTTAGCCTGAAAGTTTATTAAATGACCATTGAAACTCTCGTGAAAATGTGTAAAAATGAACTGTGCACCCCTCTTTTTCAAAAAGTTGTATCCCGCCCCTGAATAATGAAGAGGGTTTGTAGAGTAGGCGAATGCCGATGCAAAAATAGAGAAACACGACTTCAAAAAAAAAGTTCCTGTGGGAATAATTTGATTCGAAGCTACATATATAACGGACCTGCAGCTACAGATGGCCTTTCGAAAGATTTCGCAGCTAAAACTTACCCAGTCACAGGTACGGCAGTAGTGAATATAATACACGTGTATAAGCTGTGTTGTAGGCAACCGATTATTAACCAAATTCACACTGGCATACTAGTATTTTCGTGATTCACTGTGTGCCTTTGCATAAATTGAAAACAAATAGAGTCTCCATAGACTATTATTAGGCCAAACGCCGTATAAATCCCTTCCCCTCTGACAGAAGATCCAACACTCCGGCGCAGTGAGGACTTTGCATAACATCGGTACTATGCTGACCGCACGGAGCTCTGGGTAGGACAGTGGGCGAGCCTTTTCACGCGAAGTGACGTCATAGACGACCGGCTTAGTTACCGCTTCATTGTCAGCGCTTTGTCGCCTGAGTCGTACGTTTTGTTGCTGCTGCCGTTGTCGTTGCTGCTGGTGTTAAGGACACGCCGTTAAGGACACTGTCATCACGATTGGTCGATGCAAAGTAGGTGACAAATGTAAAAATATACCCGTAAAAAATGAAACGGGTTCATAAGCGATTCAGTTGATTTGTACGCAAGGTTTGGCAAAGTTGCCGCTGCAATGTATGCATAAAATCAGGGATTCGAACACGGTCGAACTTTGAAGATCAAATCCAGTTAACCCACTTACCCACTTTACAGCAAATGATAGTAAGCAACTTCTGTCAGTGTCATTTTATCAGTTACAAATGTTTAAATAAAAAAACAAAGCAATAATATTATTTTCTAGGGTTAATATTGTACATCAATATGTACTGGTTGTGATAAAGACAGTTGATACCTGTGATATATCCTGCATGTGTTTATCTAAATCGTCCCTGCCTGAACTCCTGAGTTTATGTCCTTAGTGCTCAGAGTGAGATTCATGGTTTATTTGTCTGTCACATATTACAAAAATTTAACATGATGTATTCTGCAATCAAATGTGTGTCATTCTAATAAGAATTCATTTATATCTTTGGTATCCTAAAAGATGAAATGATATCCAAGAATGGTCATGGTGATTTGAAAAAACGAAGGAAATCCCCCCGTGCTGTTTGCGTCGGTTATATGACATATACATATACTATTAACTGAAGGTAAGTTGTGGACGATGAAAGAGATTTAGTGTGTATTTATTGGAATGACCAAAAATATGTTTTGTTTTATTTCTCGACAGCACTGAAAACAAGATGATTTTCCTGCACGGTCTGGCTTTAGCCGTATATGAATTTCAGAGATACCTCAAATGCCGCGATGGTAGGTATTGTTTAGAACTATATGACACATGTACCGATCCTTGAATTTCTTTTGTCGTTCTTTAACGCCGCACTCATCAACAATCTAGCTAAGTCATGGCGATTAGGACCAGACAATCCAGTGATTGACAGCACGAGTATCGATTAACATTTAGTTTTCTCTAACGACAAGTGCAGGTTACTGTGAGGCTATGTTCTAACAGAATGAAGTTAAATTCTGCTTGCTAGATGAAATAATTCACCAATTGATCATCAACACTATTTTCCAATCCAACCCATATTTACAACTCTTCTTGGTGATTATTGGTTGGGTCTATTTTCCTATCTAAGTCACCTACAATCCTTCGGTCCAATAGATCAGAGACAAGAGATGCAGAAGCGGGAGGAAGATCAGCAAGCCGCTGAGGCGTACGCCGCCACCGCTGTAGAGAAGGCCGAGGCTGCTACTGCTGCAGCAGACGCTGGATATGCTGCCTGGAAAGACGCCATGATTTTTGCAGCTCTGGAGGCCGAGAGAGTGTCGGCATATTCAACGAAGAACGCTGGGTCACCTGAAACGTTGGAGGTGAAGAGACTGGAGGCGGTGGCATTGAAGAAAGCCCACACTTATGCAGCGCTGGAGGAGAAGAGAGCAGCTGCAGCTCTTGGCTTGGACAGGGTCCAGTCTGCTGCAGCTGTTACTGACCTTTCCAGTGGTGAAGACGCTGCAGCTGCTGTTGCAGCCCCCAAAGCCGAGACCGTTCCAGGTGGGAAATTTGGATTCAGTTTACACATAGTAACCGTTAAATATGTTCTTGAATGGCAGTGCTTTTCAACAAGGTCGCAGATATTCCTTCAACTATGTTGTATCACAACAATGGCTAAATTGCACTTACTTTCTTTCAGCCAAACAGGACAAGCCCAAGAAGAAGGGCATCTTCGGAGGCATGAAGACTGGCTTCATGCTGTAAATGCTGCTTTCTGATTGGTCCTCGGCGGTCTACCCCATCCTTTCATGACCCACGCGCATGTCCTCCACTAACGACCTTGACCCTGATTGAATCAATTCCCGATGA